TGAGAGTTGTCTGTAGCTGATCGTCCTCTACCGCGTTTTCCTCGTCCACGAGATGAAAAGAGCGCAGATTGATTATCTGCCATTTTCGGGAACTTGAGTGCAGCAGACTTGAGATGAATTTCTTCACTTATAAGAAGGGAATACAGATTATCAAGGGATAAAGAGTTTTGCATTGTGCGGATAGTAGTTGCGAACGACTGGTACGCCGGAGGTAAGCCATTCAGGATGTAAATGATGACATCTTCAGGATCCACCGATGAACCTGCCGCCGAGATCTTATCCACTATCTTCTTGATTTCTGTAAGATATTGAGTCATTGACATTGTGTGCATAGAGACATTGTGCAGCTCATTTTTGAGTTGAATGACCTTTGATCTGTTGGAGGATTGAAATCTTGTTTGAAGAGTCTGCCAGATCTCGTGTGTAGATTCAAGATGAATCACGTAGGGCAGAACTTCCGGTGAAATAGTGGAGCACAGCGCAATTGCAAGATTCTGGTCCGTGACCTGCCAGCTTTGCGCGTCTTGATTTGGATCGGCATTTTCTTGTGTTGATTTTGCATCAAGAAATGCTGCGAATCCATTTGCCTTTAGAAGCTTTGCGATTTGTGTGCTCCAGATCGGGAAGTTGTCGGGTGAGAGAGAATGTGGAACAAGAAACTTAAGATTTGAAATTACAAATTTCAAAGAAGGAGATATGAGATGAGCCGACACCGCATCGCTGGTGGTGGCGCCTGTCGTCGAAGTGGCGGAAGCCTGACTTGCCATGGCGAGGACGTCAAGACCGACTGTCTCTTGATACCATGAAGAAAGCTAATGTGCAGAACAGGGGAAGAAGACAAACAGTAAAAGAATGATAAATTGTATTCAATCACCCTCTTGTTACAGCCCGAGTACACTTATATAAAGATACAGTGAGATGTAATAGGTACCCGTGTCATCAGGTAAAAGGCTAAGGTTAAATATATATAAAACATTAATTCAAATATAAACATGTAGCTTAACAACTCACACCTGATCGGAGCTGCACAGCCTGCCCGCTCACATCCCGAAGCCTTGCGTCACGTCCCGGACTTGCCGCCGCGCTGACCGCCGGCCGTCCCCGCGTCTTGCCGTCAGTCACCAGCCCACCACTACTAATGAACCGCCGCTGCCAGCATTGTCGTGTCCATGGGTTGGGTCGGTTTGACCCAAACCTAAAGCGGGTCGGTTCAGGTCCGAAAGACCGACCTGTTTGGGGTTCGGGTTGACCCGAATAGTGCCGGATCAATTCTGGATTTGACCCAAACCAGACCCGTGACCCGAAATCAATACCCCTGCCTTATGCGGACAGTGATATGAATGGTTCAAGTAAAGTGTTCTTGCTCCATCAAATTCAGAAAAGCAATTTAGAAAAGCTTGTTACTGAAAAGCAATTAACCTTGCCTGGCCGCCTAAGAAGAGAAAGTGCAGCAGGGATAATTTTTTCTCATTAGCCAATTCTTCATCAGTTGGAACTGAAATGAAGCAGAAAAGAGAAGCAGCCTTCATACTAATAGAGTCTTCACCAAACCCTTAGCCATAATTCAACGTTTAAACAAGGACCATATGCAAACTATACTTCAGCTAACTGAAAGGTCCAACCAGAATCATAGACACACCATACCTGGCTCATGGCTGGCTTTAATAAATGGTCCCAACCATCTCCATGTGCATCCCAGCTGGTCACAAAGCCCACTTGCCGGTCAAATCATCTGCTGCATCAAAAAAGTTTAATTTTCTGTATAGAATCTCACATTTAGTGAAACATGAAGAGTTTGAATAAAAGTTCATAGAAAGTTGAGATACACAGCCAAGAGAGGTTGCCATAAAGGAAAAAAGCATGGTGAAAAAAAAAAAAGCCAGAAGAAAAGCAATTCGATGTGGAAATAAAGAATTAAAGTGACAGGAAATCCAGAGATAGATTTCATTCCCAAAACTTGAAAAGCGATGGGAATTATTGTTTTAAAAAAGTTTACTCTACTTCTCACCACTTTCCACTAATATTCGGTAAAACTAAATTAACTCCCTTAAATGTGCCATTTACAAGTGGAAGATTCACTTGACGTCAACCATCACCAATATGGAGCATAAAAAAGGGATGATTCTGTGCGGATGTCGAATGCCGTCCAAAGACTAATCAAAATGCGTCACATTACCCCCGCTCTGTACCGCGGCTCGGTAACATGCTTAGTACCGCGCTCGGTACCCCGCTCGGTACTGCTAACGTGACCCATTCTGATTAGTCTCCGGACAGTGAACGGCGTTCAACGTCTGCACAGAATAATTTCTCGGTCAAGGGACACCGTTACTGTGATTTGAATACCCTGACTTGTTTTGACTGGTTTCCACCAAATGATATATATCTTCAAGAATCAGTTCCAAAAGGCTAATAAAAAAAAGGTAAAATAAATACTTAATCAAAGAAGACATCCCAACCTATCCTTTATCAAAACAAAGCTTCATTGTGAATGCTGGAATCTCATTGTTTTAAGAAAAGCTCTGTCACACTTGTCAACTAATCTTTGTCGGCATAAAATTTTATTTTCCTGTAAAATTGTATCCTCCTTCACAGAAACTTCATAAGGTTACAGAATCCAATGGGATTTAGGGAGTAAAACATACAAAGTAGACAAATATGTTGTTCAATATATATATATAATTATTTTTTTCTATTAAAATAGAAGCATAGTTAATAACCTTTATCCTTGTCTCATTGTAGCTTCTTGTTTTGTATGAAAATAAATTATGTTCAAATATCATACTAAAAAATTTATCATGATAATTTAAAAACTTTAGAACTTATTATAAGATAAATGAAATAAAATAAGTTGAAAGACCTTTTTTGTCAAGACTATTATAAAAAATAATTAGGCTCCCACTAGAAATTTTTTTTGGCTCTATCACTACAATCATGCCAATAGGAAAACGCATTTACCATGCCAGATCTACACACAAAACCAAGGACTTACTCATAAAATATATCCAATATATTATAAATTCATGAAAACATGCCTTCTAGTTCATGTCACTTAGGTTTTATTTACATCTATGGACATAAAAAATTGCTTATATTAAATAAGATATTCAAAAAAGTAAAGTTTGGCAACTTGCAATAAAGGATGAAGTCAATTGTGGCTCATGTAATAACAGTGAATTGAAAAAAATAAAAAATTAAAAAAAAAAAAACAGAAATACAAATAGCATTTTAATCACTTACATATAATTAGGCTTATGCCTTAATTAGAACCAAATATAAACGAATAAAGATCAAAGATTTGTAAAGGCTAAAGAAGAGTTATTGAGAATTTATACTTTCTAGTTTGTGCACAATTGAGATAAATGACCACATTTTCAGTAAGGTTCCAATTTAAATGAATCTCATGTGATACAAAGATAAGAAAATTTGCACACATAAAAAAAAAAAAACTCTTATACCCTTCCCGGCAATTCCATATGGCCAATAGTTTTTTTCCCCCTTATATATATATGAGAGGTTGGGTTCATTTGGTCAATAGTTTATTCATACAAATAATTGGCACAATTATTGTAAAATCTACGTAAGCAGCATTAAAGAGAAGGAAAAACAATAATAAGAACTGAAACAAAGCATCACAATTATAAAAAAAATAAAGCTACCTATAGAACAGGGAAAGCTTCACACATAAACAACTAAATAAGACAGACAGATCAGAGTTCAATAAAATTAAAGAATAAAAATACCTGTTAATTCCATGCCTTCATGGGGGCTATAGCTTGCAGGTCGTCTTTCCTATCATTTGATGAAATATCAGACAAAAACAACAAGTTATTGAACAAAATAATACAGAAAGGATGTTCAAACTGCCCTCTCTATAATTGCAACATAGACTATGGCTTTGTTTGGGATGACTTTATTACTGGTTCTTAAAGCAGTTTTTTAGTCAAATTTTTCAATTTTTATACTAAAAAGCTGCTTTATGAAGCAATAAGAAAGCCGTCCCAAACAAAGCCTATACCTAAGCTAAAAAATCAAGCATTAATTTCATAGAAAAATAACCAACCGACCATGACTGCCCAGTTCCTAACTTCCCTAAACCACCATTTGGATCATCCTTGCCATGAAGACTTCCAATATCATAAATAGAAAAAAAAAATCTTAGCCACTACAAACCAAACCAAGTACCTAACGATGCAATTTTATAAACAAGAAACAAATTTTATAAGAAACAATTTGGATGGTAGATGAGAAAGTAAAATAAGAAACAATTTTATAATCGGCTTCCTTACTTTTTCAAAACAAAAGATAGTGGCTTTCATCGCCCCACATGAGAATTGATTCTTTGCTGTAAGGATAGGATAGATAGCCTTCCAAATCATACAAACTTCATGTAAAAGGTGGTGAAGCCCACTGGGATCAGTAAAGGGTAAGGAAAAGACAAATCGACATTCAGAAAGAAGATCCCAGTGAAAAAATCAAAGCTTTTCTAGTTTACAGACACATTGAAAGCTATCACATGGGATAATTACCGCAGTATTTCCATTAAATCACAGCATTTCCATCATCTGCACAGATTTAACTACATGGTTTAATGCCACAGGCTCAGCGCTTGTGGACTTTTACCATGCAATGACCATCTTTCCGATACTCATATCAAGAAATATAATAACTATTCCTCAAAGTTGTAACCTTGTCAAGGCACTTTCATCTATCAATACAGAGGAACATATACCAGACTATTTATAAATAATGAGAGACCTGCGAATCAAATTTTTAAATCAAACTACTGCTAGAACATAAATGAAGCAACTTTTAAAATTATTTGAACATATTAAGGAAGAGTCATTGCCACAGAATTCCACAAAGGAGCTAAAAATGTTAAAGTACAAGACAAGATCATCGGAGCGCCTCCACCATCCATTTCAATTCTTATTGCAAGGCACAAGGAACTTGCACGCAGTTTGTTTGAAGAATACATAATGGATAAATGTATAACTCAAAACTTAAACGGGTAAACAGGCAAGTTCAATTTTCTTCAAAGCCACCGCCAAATTTATAGCAGAAAAAATGCAATACATTTTTCCAGATTCCTTCTATTTACATTGGATATATAAAGAAAAAACAGCATGCCTTCTACAACTTCTACACAATGATTTCTCCTCTAATGAGATGGAGGAAACAACTAGAATAATGTATTATAACTATAAAGATGAAGCTCTCATTTGATGAAAAAGATCATGAAATTGATCAATTTTTTGTTCTTTTTTCCTATTTTTTCCTCTAATGTCTAATTGAAAACTCGCTGCCGTTAGCCCTAAAAGTTCTGTTTCTTCGGGGCAAATCAGAAGCTGAAGACCCAAGATCTGAACTGGGGCGAGAAGAGGTAGATCCACGCCTGCCCAAGAATGAGAAGATATTGCGAAATATCCGACCAATTCCTCCTCTCTGCTGAGACCTATTACCTCTTGAAACCCAGGAGATTCTCCTCGGCACACCCCCAGAATTAAACCCGCCGTCCATTTCAGTGTAAACAACAGGGAGCTGCCGATCCCCAGCCCTCATCCCTCCAGTAAATCTCCCAACTGCGAATCCTCCACCAGGAAGCCTCCATATTGTAAGTCCCACAGTCTCATCCTCACTGGAGGCAACCGGACTCCTGTCATCGCCGGCGGGATCCGTCATCCCACGACCGCTTACATCAGTAGGCATCTCATGCCTGCACACCGGGCACGAATTCCGGAGCGAGAGCCACGGCAAGATGCAATCTTGATGGTAAATATGCTTACAAGGCATCTCCCTTGCTTCAGCCCCGAGATCGAACGGTTCCATGCACACGGCGCAGTTGCAATCTTGAGATTTAGTGATCTCGATCGTCGGCATAGACTCGATGGCTGCCTTAGAAGCAGGCGGGTTCTCAAATCCACGGCCAGCGAGGCCGTTGATTTCGATCTGAGCGAGCTGATCTAGTAGCCGCTCCAAGCCAGAGCCCATCAAAAACCCCGACATGCTCGACGGTAGAGGGCGAAGGCCAGACCCCGTCCCGTCGTCGTAGTAGAGCTCAAAGCTTCTGCTAGATGGGCGATCGGCACCGCGGTCGCCGCTGCCGTCGGAAGGACCGCGGAGAACGATGACAGGATTGAAAGGCGAGCGGTCTCCGGTTCCATTGCGCCTGTGGCGACGCATTCTGATGGGCTCAGGTTGGGTTTCTGGGAAATCCCCACGGCTGCCAAGAAGATACCGGCGCGCGACGCTCGGCGAGTTCTCGAGCTCCTCTAGAAAGCCACCATCGCAGTCAGGACAGACGATCGCGTCCTGCGGCCAGACCCTGACAAAGCGACTGCAGCGGTAACACCAATAGGAAGATGCAGTCGCCATCGCCGGAGAAGAATGAATCAAAAACAGAACCGATCTGAGATTCCGAACGTTGATCCGATAAAATATTTTGATATGTCCAAAAGAGTAAGCTCTAAAGACAGATCATTGGAGAAAACTTCGAAAGAAACCTAATTAACCCCCAAAAAAAAAATCCTATCTTGCAATCTGGTAAGGAAGATTTGAAGACGAAACACTGGTTGACAAAATAGTTGGGGGCCGGAAGAAAATGAGAGGCGGTGACAAATATCCAAAAGTCACCGGTAGGTTTCGCGAGCTAAAGAGGACTGGAGAAGAAGTAATGTCGTGAGACGAGGAGCTTGGGGTTTTTATGCGATTGACGAGCTTAACGGCCCATTCACGCGGGCGCGGGCGCGCCTTCGACGCATTTCACTGCTTTAACGGCGTTCTGAAATGGCGAAAAATAATTGGATGCTGGACAGAGACTTAACGGAGCGGAAGGAACCGAGTTAACTTAAGTGGCAACCTCGCTGCCAAATGGTGAGTCGGTCAGCCTCCGCATCCATTTCAAAAGATGTTCACATTTAAAATTACCGAATTACCCTTAAAGGGTTAAAACGTAATTTCACGTTTTTAGGAGAGTTTCCCGCTTTTTCATGCATGCTACCACGTTGTGTCGGGATCGGCCAGCCTGGCGCACCGCGCCGTAGTGCGGGTCAATCATACTGACGAAGGAAGAAAAATTAGATGCTTATCAAAATTCGATTTAAAAAATATATAATAAATTAATTTATGCATTATTTCTGAATTTTATCTAATTAAATTTATATTAGGATTTTTTTAATAAAGTGTTTTATATGAGAATTTTAAATAAGAATATTTTGATTCAAATTTAACTAATATTTTTTATAAAAAATTAAGTATTAATATTGTATTAATTCTAAAATGAACTTAACAAATCCAAGATCTCTTTATTGTGACATCATTATGACACTTAAATGTATAACATACATTCTATGATCAACATAATCAATATGGGTTGTTTGATGTAATACAATAAATTTGTCTTGGATCTTCTCCATATATACAGAGCATGTCACTCTCAAATTCATAAATACACCCTCACTCTCCACATGAAGATGATATTTGGAAGATAGGACCTTAGGCTAGAGATTCAAGAGAGCCTATAAGACATAAATCTCGGAGCACCATCGATCGAAAACCCTCACCACCCGTCCGTCACCGTGAGACTTTCATTGATTGAGTATCATTACACATCCATCCAACCATTGTCGCCACCAGACCTCAGCATTGTCGCCACTGACAGGTCTCCGCCCGATCTGTCTCCCGCTGAATATAGTCCTAACAACTATTGTCGCCCAACTACGGTCCTTATGACCTCCACCCACCGATTATCTGTATCAACCCTTAAATTTCTACAAGATGTATTTTTCATCTACATGAATCAAATAATATATCATGGGTCATTATAAGTTTAATTTACAAATTGTTTTTTCCATAACATAGATATTGTTGTGCTCTAATTATGATCAATATTTTTTTGTTTTCTAATTTTACAGGCAATTTATATATGAAAATTAAAAAAAAAACATTTTAATTAATTATAGTTCCTTAAGAAAATGACACATATTGGTACAAGTGAGTTTTATAGGACCGTTAGATGTTCAGTTTTTTGCAAATTAATTTTACCAAACAATTCTAAATGTCACTTGATTTCACCAATTATGTTAGCACATGCCATCTTCCATAGTTGATGCACGCTATCGATATTAATTTAGGCGTCATCGATATTAACTTTGACTCCTAACATTAGCACTAGGATATACACTGAACTAAAATGATAATATATTTCCATAGCCCCAAATGTTATGTCACACAATAATCTTAATCAATGGATGCATCTCAATGTTATTTTAATAGTTCATCTCAAATAACTGTATTTAACATGAAAATAATAAATCAACAACCTGTCAACTTCGAGCCTATACTTCTGCATGGACAATCATGATTAATAAATATAGTTTGTTCACTTAAACTAAAATTTAAAATTTTACCATTAATTTATTTCATGTCAAGTTCATCACTATGTGTTCAGAAATTTATATATTCTTGCTAACAAATCAAAAATTTTAATGCCGAAATAACAACTCACCTTACATCGTATTGCTAATAATTTTAATTAAAATTCAGTTTTTTAAAAGCTTAGTTAAGCAACGTGAGTGTTAATGTTCAATAAATATTTCAAATAATAATTTAGGCTTCTTTTGGATTGGCTTCCTTATTGCTTTTTTTATGCAGATTTGTAGATAAAAATTTATTTTTTATACTAGAAAGCTGCTTCAAAAAACAGTAAGAAAGTCATCTCAAACAAAACGTTACTTGAGGCTTCGTTTGGGACGGTTTTCTTTTAATTTTTATACTAGGAAGCTGCCTTAAGGAGTAATAAGAAAGCTGTCCCAAACAAAACCTAAGATTTACTGCTTAAAGGAAAGAAGACTTGGGATATATTTAGGACAACTATATATTTTAATAGAGTTGGTTGTGAAATTATTGTGGAGATAACAATTTAACTATTTTAGTTATAAAAATTAATTTTCAGTCATATAAATTTTTAAGAAGTTGTGAGAAATTTTATAGCTTTAGATAATTATTTAATTTTTTAGTTTCTTATTTTTAGCTTGTCAAATATTTATAACTTCAAAATATTTGCGAAACCTTAATTTTGTAGCTTTATATAATTTTATATATTCAAAATAAATCAATAAAAATATCAAAGAGTTATTGCACAAATTATTTGGAAACCCTTTAAACCAATGTGACTTTGCAATTATTATTTATTAGCTTTGAAGCATCTACCTCCTAGTTCGCTTTTTTTTTTTTAGTTGTCACATGTTCAAACAAACACAGGTGTTTTCTAGCGCGTTTTTCTTTAAAACTTCGTTTGCTAATGTTTTGTAAAATTAGTATAGAAAAAGTAATTATTCAATGTTATTACATAAAAATAATTTTTAGTGTAATTTTTTTAATCAGTGCAAAACTAATGAACAAAAAGAATTTACAATTAGGATCTGAAAAATAAATTAGTAAAAAAATTGTTTTAAAGTAAGAGCAAAAGTAATGTCCAAAAATAAAGTTATAGTTGCGGTTTGAAAATCAAATCAGTAAAAAAATTATTCGAAAGGAAGCTTATGGCTTCATTTGAAATAGATTTCTTATTGCTTTATAAAATATTTTTTAGTACAATTAATTGTTTTGAAATAAAAAATTTGTGCTAAAAAACTAATTTAAAAAGTAGTAAAAAGTTATTCCAAATGAAACCTAAATCTTTTAATTGTGAGTACAAGAACGTGAGCAGGCACGGCGGGCCTCGGGCATGGGAGAGAGCGCTTGCAGGCGCGGGTGCGTTCATTGGCAGGTGCGGACGGCCTAGATGGACGCATGGGTGGTGGCTGGCAGGAAACCCAAAAATATGATTAGATCTTGATAGGGATCTTGAGATGACGACAAATTGTTGGTGGTGATCATCAGTTGTGACAATGATTAGTAATGGTATTCGACGATGATGACTGTAAAATGCAAGAGAGAGTATTAATTCACTTAGCTTCTAAACCCTTATGTGTGTAGAGAATGAGACTCAGTGTACCGCCTTTTTGATATGAGCATTTTAGTAAATTAGGCTAGAATTCAAAAAACCTCATCGTATGATCCATATTAATTTCTCTAATTATGAATTATTTTCTCAGTAATTAAGTGGTGTAATGATATCAAAATTAAGTGACATTATGCTCGTTGAATTCTTCTCGCCAAGATGCTTTTTTTTTTCACAAACATTAATATATTAATAAAAAACAGCAAATGTTACAGCATGGAAATAAGAGAGAAAAAATAAAAAAAGGAAAAATATAGCCAAAAGGCGGGCTCAGTAATCGGCTAGGACTACCAGCACCCCTGAAGACAAGCACAGACCATCCAGTAAGGTAGGAAACACCAAAGGTTGCCACAAGCTGAACCACAGGGGCGCGAACCCCAACCACATCATAGCCCATTTCTCGACGCAAACAGTCAATCAAACAGTGACATAGCAACTGAAACCCGAAACAAAACAACCAAAAAAGAGCCATTAGCGTCTACGACGCCCTCTCCCACGAAATCGCCCCCGAGATGCAGCAGATAAACTAGGTATAGTGCGAACCAAAGTGAAATCATTGCCAAGATCCGAACCCCCACACAAATCTGGAGACGCCAAACCACTTTCAGAAAATTCAGATTTCGATTCATACTATGACGATAACCAATTAATATGGTTCATAATGTCCAAACCAGACGAAACACCTAGCCGATTAACCAAAGCATGCGAATCCATCAGCTTAACAGGAACCTCAATAAAATAATTACTAACAGGATTACCCTCAACTCTCGCATCAGACGAAGGAACCACACTAGTCGACGGTAAAGCAGGAGGAAAAAAAGGAAGGGCATTTGGTGAGAGACCAACCAAAACAACATCCGAAACAATGTCGCCAGCCCCTAACCCAACATATTCCTCCACCATAATTACATTCTCCAACCCGCCATCAACGACTGGCAATTGGGCAAATTCGGGTTCAGAAACAGCAGGAGAATTCACAACACCACCCAAACCCGGTAACATAGTAAGTTCGGGTCCAGGTACATCAACACCACCAGCCATAATATCAGGGGAAGAAACAATCTCAGGCTCAATAGAGGGTAAAGCATAAAAAACATTCTCAGAGTTTGCAGCAACATTACCCAAAATTTCCGTCACAGAGGGAGCAACCTCCTTATCAACATTTAGAGCACGAATAGGAGCTAGAATATCAACCGGAATAGACGAAACAATAGGATTCCCAGATGCAGTATCAGGACGACATTTACCCGATACATGCCCTAAGCATTTACAAACAGCACAAAATTGAGGAAACTCATCTAACACCACATCCTGAACATAACCTAATGAATCAGAACCTAACCACACTTGCTTAGGGTAAGTTTTTTAGTAACGTCAAGTTCGACTAGAAGACGAGCATTCGACGGACGAGAGCCAACCGATGTAGCTTCATCGATTTTCAGAGGTTTACCAAATAATTCACCCAGACCAAACAGAATCCTAGGCGAGAAAAAATGAGGGAGAAGATGTGGAAAGGAGATCCATATCAGAACAATCGGCGACTCAATGCCGATGTCCAAACTAGGTAACAATTTGGTAAGTTTCATAAAACAATTGAAAACAAGATAAGAACGGTGACAAAACACCCTACAATAGTCTAAATCGTTTGACAGTTTGATCAAAATGTG